CGACTGATAAAGACTGATATTTCCTTTGTTACTACTCTCTTCATTGGTTGATGTATTTTGCCTGTCGCTGCAAATTCTTTATTATTGTTTTGATGTTGGAGTTCGGATTGAGTTTCTTTCCTTTCTTCCTCTTCCTTCAACTAGTTCTTGTCCCTTTGGTTTTTAGGTTTTATTTATTTATTTATTTTTGTTTTTGTTTTTTCACTTTCTTTTTGCTGTCCCACCCATGGAAATATTTCCCGGTGGGTCGGGCTTATCGCCTTCGAAAGAAGTGAATAAAGGAGAAATAATAATAATAATAATAATAATTTGAAACTCGGATGTTGAGCCATAAATAAATGTAGAAGAGAAAAGGACATATCGATACGAGTTAAGAGTAACTCTCCATCACTGTAACATGTCGGTTAGCGCTACGGAGATGTGTTGAAGCTAGGTGTCAGGACGTCGAATGTTTCAGTACTCTGTCAGTTTTGTGCCTAGTTATTGCACTTTCTGACTGTATATAGTATCATGTTACAATGATGGAGAGTTACTCTTAACTCGTATCGATATGTCCTTTTCTCTTCTACAATAATAATAATAATAATAATAATTCAAAGTATCAGTCGGGGAAGTGAACTGCCTGAAAAGAGAAAAAAACGCCAGACCCACCAGGACTCGAACCTGGGACCCTGCTTGTCATGAGCAATGCTCTAACCACTGAGCTATGGGACCAGGCTGAACCCAGAAGGCGCTGACAAGTTTTTCACTCCAAAGGCAGCTTACAACACGTGCCACACATACTGATGGCACTTGGGTCTTTTTTCCCTCCCCCAGGGGACCAACCACGGTCAGTTTCTGGAAACTACCAGAGGTGAAAGAAAGTGATTAAATTTGGAAAGGATTGGGACTGATACTTTGAATTTGAAGTTCTCCCAATCCTTTCCAAATTTAATCACTTTCTTTCACCTCTGGTAGTTTCCAGAAACTGACCGTGGTTGGTCCCCTGGGGGAGGGAAAAAAGACCCAAGTGCCATCAGTATGTGTGGCACGTGTTGTAAGCTGCCTTTGGAGCGAAAAACTTGTCAGCGCCTTCTGGGTTCAGCCTGGTCCCATAGCTCAGTGGTTAGAGCATTGCTCATGACAAGCAGGGTCCCAGGTTCGAGTCCTGGTGGGTCTGGCGTTTTTTTCTCTGTTCAGGCAGTACACTTCCCCGACTGATACTTTGAATTTGAAGTTCTCCCAATCCTTTCCAAATTTAACCACTTTCTTTCACCTCTGGTAGTTTCCAGAAACTGACCATGGTTGGTCCCCTGGGGGAGGGAAAAAGACCCAAGTGCCATCAGTATGTGTGGCACGTGTTGTAAGCTGCCTTTGGAGTGAAAAACTTGTCAGCGCCTTCTGGGTTCAGCCTGGTCCCATAGCTCAGTGGTTAGAGCATTGCTCATGACAAGCAGGGTCCCAGGTTCGAGTCCTGGTGGGTCTGGCGTTTTTTTTCTCTTTTCAGGCAGTTCACTTCCGACTGATACTTTGAATTTGAAGTTCTCCCAATCCTTTCCAAATAATAATAATAATTTGAAAGTAGGACGGAGGCAGAAAATATTACAAAAAATGTATTATCTACGCATGCATCTACGCAAGAGTCACCACCAGCCAATTAGGACATGTGTCAAAGTATTGAACGTTTTCGTTCCCTTCTTGTCAAAATACTACAGGGAATGATGGAAATAAGCTAAAAGACTACAACTATAAGGAAAAGAAGTTCAGAAATATATCACTCCAATTATGTGTAGAAGTGACACGAAAAAATAGATGTGAAGAATCAAGAAAACAGCATGCAAATCCAATAAGTGACAAAAACGTAGTGACAAGAAAAAGAGAGAAATATCAAGAGATCTATTTCGCACCTTCACGACGAACAGTGCCAAACAACTGCAAAGACAACACATTCTCCTTCTGAACACAAAGCTCAGGGTCTAACTTACGTATGTACAAAGCTTCCAACACGGCAAGATGTAACAAAGACCTACCACGCGACAAAACAGAGAATACATCATCGGAATACCACTCACGACAACTAGCACTGCCCGACAGGTGACACTTGATTGCCGAGGTACCGTTTCCCTGACCTGACGACTTGGCCGTTGTCACCTCCGATATTGCCGCTTGCGAATCTCTCCCATTACGCCCTGCGTCCCTGCAATTCCGATTGCCTCGGTCGAGATCAGTGTGCTGCTCCACGTCCAGTCTGTCCTGCTTCCGTGGTCTACCTCGTTTCTTCACATTAATCGTTGTTGTCACTTCCAGTATTGGTTCTTTTGATTCGTCATCAATTCGTCTCCTCAATTGACTTCTGGTGACTCGTCCGGGGCTCGATTGTCCAGATGTCAGTTTCGGTGGTTTCCGTATAGGTCTCTTCTTCTTGTTGACTGTTGTTTGGGTTGGCTCCAGCCCTCCGCCCGACGAAAAGGAGGAGGCGTCGGCAAGCGTATCGACAGCGGACTTGGACAAGTCCACCTCAGACACAGACTGCACTGGACACTTCGGTGGACGACCACGCCGAGGTCGAGAACCACGTGCAGCTACAGGGACAAGATTCAACGGTACATGTTGACGAATCCGTGCGCCCATGTGCTGAAAGGTTCTACCTACGTACCGATTTTCACAAGAAGAAGAGACCTCTACGGAGACCACCGAAACTGACATCTGGACAATCGAGCCCCGGACGAGTCACCAGAAGTCAATTGAGGAGACGAATTGATGACGAATCAAAAGAACCAATACTGGAAGTGACAACAACGATTAATGTGAAGAAACGAGGTAGACCACGGAAGCAGGACAGACTGGACGTGGAGCAGCACACTGATCTCGACCGAGGCAATCGGAATTGCAGGGACGCAGGGCGTAATGGGAGAGATTCGCAAGCGGCAATATCGGAGGTGACAACGGCCAAGTCGTCGGGTCAGGGAAACGGTACCTCGGCAATCAAGTGTCACCTGTCGGGCAGTGCTAGTTGCCGTGAGTGGTATTCCGATGATGTATTCTCTGTTTTGTCGCGTGGTAGGTCTTTGTTACATCTTGCCGTGTTGGAAGCTTTGTACATACGTAAGTTAGACCCTGAGCTTTGTGTTCAGAAGGAGAATGTGTTGTCTTTGCAGTTGTTTGGCACTGTTCGTCGTGAAGGTGCGAAATAGATCTCTTTATATTTCTCTCTTTTTCTTGTCACTACGTTTTTGTCACTTATTGGATTTGCATGCTGTTTTCTTGATTCTTCACATCTATTTTTTCGTGTCACTTCTACACATAATTGGAGTGATATATTTCTGAACTTCTTTTCCTTATAGTTGTAGTCTTTTAGCTTATCTCCATCATTCCCTGTAGTATTTTGACAAGAAGGGAACGAAAACGTTCAATACTTTGACACATGTCCTAATTGGCTGGTGGTGACTCTTGCGTAGATGCATGCGTAGATAATACATTTTTTGTAATAATAATAATAACTTGGGGCTCCCCGCGTGCTAGTTTGTACGTGAAGTGTGTGGGTTACAGTGAGGGCTGCGTCCCACCCGCCTGTGTGGATTCACAGGAAGTGTGAGTTACGAAGTCTGAAGAAAACGTTGAACGGTCTCTGCTTGGATGACGACTACACCATAGCTCAGCGGTTAGAGCATCGCTGGCTACAAGCGAGGGTCCCTGGTTCGAGTCCTGGTGGTGACAGTCAATTTTTTCTTCAGACTTTTCCCGTTCGTCTCTTTCCCTCAAAACCAGTCAATAATAATAATTTATTTTTTATTTTTTATTTTTTATTGAAGTGCAAGCCTCTTTTACGGGCAAAAATTAACACAATGTATTAAAATGCAATACAACATACACTGGAGAAGAAGAAATCAGGAAAATAAAATATGAGCTCAAAAATGGAACGAAAAATAGCAAATAGAATCAAAACTCACCGGATGGAATCAAACTCACGATGGAATCAAACTCATGATGGAAACTACAACCCAATGAGTTGGAAAACCAACCACAGAATTAGATATTGGGAATAGAGTCAGACACAACAACAACCGAAATCAGTACACCAAAAATCTGTCCTACAAAAAACAAAGGAACAAGAAAAACAAGAAAGACGAAGTACAAAGAATCCCCAAAAAAGAGGGGAGAACGGGATGAAAGAGGACCGGAGAGCGGCAAACCCCCAGGAGGACTTAGCGTCACGTAGTGGCGGGAATGCGGGCCTCCACAGAAACAGCATCCACATCCGCCGCCAGACCAGGTGCACGGAATGCACGGCGACTCCCACGAACCATCAGGACGGAGTCGCGGACAAGGCTGAAAGCCAGGTCCGTCCGCAGCTTTCCCATCACGAGGGGATAAGGCTGCGAGAGCTTGGTGGAGAGCTTCGTTCCGAGCAGCTTCAGGAACCGGGTGGCCTCCTTCGCCAGGGCACCAGCAGAAGACAGGACGATCGGGGTGAACGACGCGTGCTCAACTTCCCGGATCCGGGCACCGTATGCCGACTGCTTCTGACGCTCGTGCCATTGGAACACCTCAGCCAGCGGGCGAGATCGGTACGACTGTGCGTTGGGATAGAACACCCTTACATCAAAAAATGCATCAGTCTGTACCGACCAAAACCCCCTGGCCTTGATGTCCGGTCTGGCGTCGTCCGCAGTGAGCAGGGCAGGACCATGGTCAAACGTGCGGACCGTCGGTAGAGGTTGCAATAATAATAATAATAATAATAATAATAATAATAATAATAATAATAATAATAATAATAATAATAA